GTGATCTACAATCGACACCGAAGCCAAAAATATAGTTTTTAGAATTTTCTTCTGTTTGTCTGTATGTATGTCCATGATAAACTCAAAAAATACTGCATGGATTAACTTCAAATTTGGCACGAATATTATTAAGAAGTCGGGTCAACATATAGGCTACATATTATCACGCTATCACCTACGAGGAACGAGCAGTGAACCTGTATTTCACGTAAGTCTTATATTCTTTAACTGCGTCCGCTAGTTAAAGAATATAAGACTAAAACTTCTCTTGCACTGTCCCCTCTTCTCCCGTTGCTTGACTATGCCGATGCGTTTTACTCTGACCTTAGTGTTGTTCTTCTTAATGAACTCGAGCGGCTGCAGAATTTATGTATTCTATTCCTTTTCGGTCTGAGTTTGTGCGACCATATCTCTCATTATCATTCCCAACTTCAATGGCCTATTTCTCATAGAAGAGACTGTCACATCCCCACACTACTCTCTCATCTAAAGGAGCGTTTCACTTTTCACTTTTTAATCCTGTTTTAATAACTAAGGATAGGTTATGAGAAGACCGAAGACCACGGGTCTTCTCATGACCTATCCTTAGTTATCCCACCCCACTAAACTGATTTCGTAGCCAAGTCATTCTATGTAAGAGCTGTTAAATCGTGGAACTCTTTACCTCTGGATATTAAAACGTGCACAGACGAGGGACTCCTTTTGCTATTAAAATTAAGGAATATTTCCTCAAGCTGGACCCTTAGCATGAACCAATATCGAATTCGTAACCTTTTGCAAGTCCGAAATGTCATTGTCAAATGTGTACTGATTTTTAGTTCTCGTTACGTACTTTGTGGCGCTGCTGTTCAAGTTTCCATACAAAAGTCATTGACATTTAGCACTCGCAAATATTGGTTAGTGCTAAGGGTACAGGACTCTGTCTGGTCTTTTTGTCTGTTCATTACTTTGTATTGTATTTTAATAATAATAATAATATTCTTTATTGTATAACACCACAAAGGACATAACAGTAAGATTACACTGACAGAAAGTCATTACACAATGGGCGGCCTTATTATTACTATTTTATAGCTTCCTTATATACTTACTATATTTATATTCTTATATTTACGTTTATTTATTTATTTTTACAATGCACTCGCCCTAGATGTTTCTTTAATTCTTATGGTATGGTTTCATTTAGCCAAAGGTTGCCTGGTAGGGATTGCTACCTTAGCAATAAGACCGCCTTTTTTGTTTGCGTTCCTGTGTTTTATGTTTTTTGTATTTTGTGTAATAGTGTTACAAAGAATATTAATTCATTAATTCATAAATAAAATCACATTATAGTATCATTGTACTATTTGACTTTAAACATTTAAACAAATTTAATTAAAAGCAAATGGGGGATATCTGCGAACTCAAAATAGTGAACCACAACCCCGTGAAGCTCTGACTAGGTACATACACTTTTACTACTATTTCTCTTTTTTTATCTCTTTCTCCTTTCCATCTTTCACAGTCTTCGTTCTCGCTTTCCCCACATGCTTTTTTCATTTGCTAGCCGTATTCAAATACTATAGAAACTCTACGAGTTCTATAGTACTCTGGTTCTGTAGTATTTGCCGTATTTAATCGCACCTAACAGGCAAAAAATATCTCATTCCCAAAGTTACTAATAGGTACTTATACCTTGTTAGTCTTTTATAAGGTGATATAACGTAAAATAACTCATACGCGTTCACAAACTATAAATTCAGTATATAAAATTGTATAATAAGTTACTTTATGGATTTACTGTATAATAAGATAGTTTTAAGCATAATTCAAGTAGCTATAGAAAAGCGAAGTCACCTGGCACAGTAATTTATTGCTTAAAAGGTGACTTCAATGACTATTAAAAAATAATGAAACCAAAACATTGTATTGGAATATATTATGATTATATTCGCAAACGGTTAAAATTATGATTATTTCGGCTTATGCGAGATTTACACTACCCAATTTTAAGGGACCCTTAACCTGACTAAGGGTGATATAATGTGAGTTAGGGAGTAAAGGACCCGATCTAGGGCGTTCGGTGCGGTGTAAAATTGCTATCAACCTAGCTAGGGCCACATCCACCCCTTCGATCGGGCCCTCAAAATTGGCTAGTGTGAAGTCCGTTTTATGATCATTACTATCTGAACTTATTTATGAATTACTGCTGGGCCACAAGCATTCCCTATTGATGAATTAGGGAGATTGGCAAATGATCTACCACGAGGGCAAGTGCACATTGGTGGGTGCTAAGGACTGCAGATGTAGCCGGAATCAACGGCTTAAAGTGCCTTTTGAAACAATGCAAAGTCCATATTTTGCACCATGGGAGATAGGGCACCATTGCCCTATCTACTTTTCTCAAAATTCAAGTGATTCTGGTCAACGGAGCGGTTAAAGAAAACCCAATGAAATAATTTTGTAATTTATTTTTATTTATATCGTATTATTTATTTAAGTATATTATACATTCCAACACTCTATGACTGTTGCTCACCACCTAAGACCGTTTATTTAACTCTTAAAACTTAACGGAAAGACGATGGCCCAGACTCAACAGAAAAGACTAGCAATAACGTGGATTTCTTTTATTGAGCACCATAAAAACAATATATCTCTCATCCAAATCATCATCAAAATATCGGTCTAATACAAAACTTAAATATTTTACTAAATTTACACGAAAAGGGCAAATTATTGATAGAAACGATGGTGTATTATCTATCTACAAATATTTCGTTATAATTATGAAACGATTCAACATACATTTATAATGTAATTCAACTTCACCATTGAACAACCATTGGTTGGTCGCATATTATAAGTGTTTCTTTAATAAATAAAAAAAATAGTCTCAACAAATTCTTTTACATTTACGACACGAACATTATAATCATGAAAAAAAAATATATTATCTCTGTTTTATTAAGTTTTTTTAAATTTATTTTCTATAATGTACCAATTTATACACAGTATTTTTTGATGATTGATATGATATTGAACAAGCGTGTTAATACTCTAGATGCTTGCAAAAGCTTCAGTGGAAGCAGAATAAGTTAAGTAAAATCATCTAATTTTAACAATCGGAATTGCATTCTGCAGTGCTAATATGTAAAATTTTACAGAATAGCACTGCTGCTTAGGAAATTGCAAATTGCATGAGAAAGTCCCCGGACCTACAACGTAACCAATAAAACCATAATTAGCCAACTTAAGAAACTGTATTTTTTGATAAACTACAGACTTACTTATGTACTATGTACTTAGAAGTTGAAATGTTTATCCAACATTATTCTTTATGGTATGAAAAAAATATGCATCATCCACTATAATGAATTCTGGGCCCGGGATTATGCACCCTAAATAGTACCATACATATATGTATTTATTCATGTACTTATTTCCATCTCCAACATTTATGCCTAAGGTTTACAATACACAGTAAAACTAACATAAATCCATCACAATAACTTTAGAATATCAGTTGTTTGATTCGTTTAGGTAATTTTAACGTGTAAAGATATTTTATTTCTACATTAAATTTATCTTACATTAAGATTAATTTATTTAATAAAATAGAATTTCATTTGAAACTATGATTTGTCGATAAAATCTTTGAAGTGATAACAAAATGTGACTAAAGTGTGATCTTCATGCATGACAAAACGCGATTAAAGAAACTGTCAAAAGTAGAGCCAGCGAAAGTTCATATAATTTACAATTGTTGTCTGTACCTACACGTAGTTTACACCTTGAGGCCCCAGGCCTTTTATAATAAACATGGTGTAAGCTGGTATCAATTATTGAGTATCACTTTCTTCCATCAGAATGTGGTGAAAAAAAAACACTACGTAACTACTTATATATAAATACTATTCTGAAACGGCAAAGACAAGATTGTTCTACTCTATAAAAATAACTGATAAAATATAAAAGTTTATGGATTTTATCGTATTACCAATTGGATCACTTTGTGACAGTATTTAACAGCGTTCTATCAATGATGATAAGTGATTTTATAATTATTATTTTATTATTATTATGTATGTATGTACTTTTACTTACAGTAGTTCTATCTTATTATAATATCAATTAATATACCTTTCAAGAACTGTGATTTTTTCAATTTAAATTACAATTTTGACTAGAATACATAAATTAGTGCCTATAAGGAAGTAGGTATAGCATATTTAATTGTTTTAAAATAATATATTCATGGAAATCTGGAAGATTTGATGTAGGTCCTTTTTTGTAAGATAGGCCAAGCATTATTAATGCTAATTAGAAAAGTACCACTTAAAAAGTCAATGTTATACAGTAGGTACGTACAATAGATTCAAATTGAGTAGTGACATTTGAGGAATATGCTAAGGTTTTCGGATTGGAAAATTTTGCGTTAAGAAAATTACTAATTACTTTTTATTGAGAAGTGCGAAATATTTTTTTAACTTTTCGCTTCTATTCTGAACCGAGGCTTCTATACGTTAATTGCATTTACTATAATAGCAACAACTACATTACATACCGTCTTTTTAATTTACAATTATTATATACATGTTAACTCGTGGAATGCTATACCTCTTTACAAATATACTTCTACAACAAACAATCATTGCAATAATTTTAATAATATACGAGCTATGTTAAACGTTATAAGTGTTTAAGATTTGTTGACTGAAAATGTTGATGGGTACCAAAAGTAATCAAAAAGTTTCAAAAATTTTCTTTCTTACATAATTATGATGTTATAATGCTACAATTTAATTAAGTCTAATTTCAACTGCTAGCAACAGGTATTCCCTTTACATTTAAAAAAAAATGAATTTTCAAGCATTTAAAAAAATGCTTTAAAATTCAACTGAGTTTAAAGTTTTTCTAATTAACTCATTTGTTACAAAAACTTTACTGAATTTAAGCCTAAACCACAACAAGACGGTAAATGTCAAATTTGAAAGATTTAACAAACTTTTGATTTGAATGTAGGTAAGGTGTCGTGTGACAAAAGTTGAAATTAGATAGCAAAATTTTATATTCGGTTTTTGTATCTAAATTAACAGTGATTAAAGATAGCATTTAAAAGACTAGTTTACAAAAATGTGCCGTGTTTAATGATCAATATTCTTAAAAACTGTTTGCTATTGCTTGCGAATAAGGCGGCTGTCTCTATGGACAAGCTTTATGTATATTAGAAGTGTTTATATAATATATTTTTCATATTTAGTAAATAACTTCCAATGTCTCTATCTAAATTAAACATTATCTACACGTGTAGACTTTTTTACAAAGTGATCAATTGTTAAAATTGTACTAACAGGAAAACAGATAAAAAAGACGATTTTTATCGAAATTACTAATGTTAACTTTACTGATACATTTTCAGGCAATCAAACTTACTTGTACTTCAAGAAAATTAAATGTTAGTTTTCGTTGCAGAAGTTGGTCGGGCGTGATGTGGGAATAACATTAAATACTAAAATTCCATTTATACCACTAAATTCATTCACATAAATTCATCGAGATTTCTATAGAGATCAATATCCTTTTAATAAAATTTAATATCATTAATTAGGTAACTTTATCGTATAATAGAATATTAATTAATTTTATTATGAAAGTTTGTGGATTGGATTTTATGAGTTATTAATATTTTAGGAACTCGCGCAGTTAATTTTTTTATTGTTAACGTGTAAATAATTAATTATTCATGGGTGTAGGCCTGATATAGGTATATTATTAAAAATATATAATTCCTTAACATTGTGCTTGGAGCTGATTATAATGATTCAATAATAAAATTATAGTTCTTTATTCACTGCTGATAATATAATACACGTTATAAACAAAAATCCTATAAGAATGAGTAAAGTATGTGGACATGTTTCAAGTAGTAGACCAACAGACCTACCCCATGTTAAACCAAGAAAGTAAATTACCTTTGTAAAATTTTATTGTCACTTACTTATCATCCGTATCAGAACCATACCTTTTATTTATTTTTTATTAATATTAAAATGAATTCACTACTTATAATATAGACAAGATTTTCGTCATTTTTTCTTCACTTTCATCTAAAAATATGATCATGTTTTGTTTATTCATATAATACATCGTGTGCTTTAGACATTACAAGTGGTTATGTTCAGTGAAAAATTATGGAATCTGTACGTAGGTTTTGTGATTTCAGTTCTACATTTAATACATTAAATAACTTAAAAAAGATTCTTTGTGTATTTCCATAAATCCTACTACGAAAATCAAATAGCGATTTGTTATTTAAGTTCTTATTTTCAATATTTTAGTGTTATTAAGTCCATTTTGATTATCGCAATGAGATTTATTACAGGTTCTACCGATGGTTCATTTCAAAAACAAAATAAGTAGTTTAGTTTAAAATTAGCATATAAATAAATATTTCGTATGTTTATTGTGCGTTAGGCGGTCTTAACACTGTGATGCATATCGAGCCTCGAAGTATTCGCAGTAAGTCTATGACTTCCGGTGTTTTCATTGATGTCACGTTTTCATCGTTGACCTGAAAATAAAAGTACTGATTTAAATTCCGGAGTTCAAATCACATAATATTAAAAAACCGACCCGACTTAGAAGTGTTTTGTAAGTCACATTGTTTCGTCCGCTACCATATACATAGATAATGGACAGAGCGACAAGGACATGAAATTGATGATCTCTCTGGAAAAAGATCAAAAATAAGCAATACACAGACTATGAGTCCTTCTATTGCCTCGTCTCTGTCTTTTTATTTTGAGTGTGTATGCTGTTGCTCGCAGATGATCTTTACAGCAGCGTCACCGGGTTTGGGGACGGCGAGATCTTAAGTGGACCTCAAGCCGAGAATTGGCGAGTGTCTCTACAGGTATTCCAGGCGGATGGCATTTCCCCACGGGGGAGCTCCGTCTGGCGCCTCTAGATCACTCGAACCTGAGGGGGTTCAACTAGAGGGCTCAAGTAGAGGGCGTCTCTGAGACTCGGACCTCTCGGCTCTAGCCGTTGTCATGGGGGGCGGGGAGAACGCCCAGGTACGTACCTGGTAAAGCGTGTCGTGTGTAGACCGGGTCTTCGCACTCTTATCCTACGGGTGCGGTGTCTGCCTAATGCTAAGCTAGTGTGCAAGTATGCTAGCTTTTTTTTTGGTATCCGTTTGCTTTGTTATGAGCAAAACACTCGCTTTTGGACTACGAGCTGTTTTTCTCACTGTTTTATGTTATTAAAGTATATTTTTGTTTTTGTAAATTTTAATTGATATTTTTAGTATGCTAGCTGTGTAGTGTTGGTGTTTGTGACCTGTGTGGGACGAGTCGGAGGCGCGTTGGTGCGGGTGATTTCGTCGTCGGGGTACTCTAAGACGTGCCTAGGCCGACGTAAACGGAGGGACCTACGATTGGAGGAAGGGAGGGTGGGCATATTATAACTAGAGGCTTGTATTACTAAGGGGTTCGGATAATACGCGGCTTTATCGAAGTAACGCTTCTTCTCTGTCATACTCATCGCAAAAGTTTATTTTACACCGTGGACAGTTTTATCATTGAGTTAGTGAGCTTTAAACTTATTTTTATAACTAGATTTTTATCGTCACTACATTGTTGTTCAACTTTCGAAACGACGAAAAAAACTGCAATATCTTTCTGTAAAATACCGAAGTAGTTGGTGAAAGTAGGACGGACCGAATGCATATTGTTGCTATTTAGCACTCCTTTTAAGTAATTTATTATTTTAAGGAGCAGGCAGTATGGGGCGGTACCTGCAGGATGACGTCACCGCGGCGTAGTCTGCCGTCCGACTCTGTTGATGTCGTCAATCTGCTTGGTTCACCGACACTGTTATGCCTATGTCCAGTACTGCACGTCCATCGGCAGACGATGAAAGTAAACTCACCGTGCGTTTAGTGCCCGTCTCCTTCTTGACCGATTCAGGCTCGACGTTCTCCTTTTCACGATGGAGATGTAGCTCCGTGCCAGCAGTGTGACGTCACATCGTCTCGGGTGCTGGCAGTATGGGGTGATACCTGCAAGGCGACGTCACCGCGGCGCGGTCTTCCATCGGGCGCGGCCACGCTGTCGCTGTTCACGGCGGAGATGTAACTCGGTGCCTGCAGTGTGACGTCATATCGTCCCGAGTGCTGGCAGTATGGGGCGGTACCTGCAGGATGACGTCACCGCAGCGCAGTCTCCTGTTGCGTGCAGCCACGCTGGCGCTGTTCACGGCGGAGATGTAGCTCGGTGCCTGCAGTGTGACGTTACATCCTCCCGGGTGCTGGCAGTATGGGGCGGTACCTGCAGGATGACGTCACCGCAGTCTCCCGTCGCGCGCGGCTACACTGTTGCTGTTCACGGCGCAGATGTAGCTAGGTGCCTGCAGTTTGAAGTTACATCCTCCCGGGTGCTGGCAGTATGAGGCTGTACCTGCAGGATCACGTCACCGCAGTCTCCTGTTGCGCGCGGCCACGCTGTCGCTGTTCACGTCGGAGATGTAGCTCGGTGCCTGCAGTGTGTCGTCACATCGTCCCGGGTGCTGGCAGTATGGAGCGGTACCTGCAGGATGACGTCACCGCGGCGCAGTCTCCCGTCGCGCGCGGCCACGCTGTCGTTGTATACGGCAGAGATATAGCTCTGGCCCGACTCGGGATGGCTCTGCACGCTGAACCCGAGCCTACTGTTCCATCCCCGGTTCAACTCCACCGTCACTATCTGTAGGTAGATGCGTAAAATTTGCGTCATTTTTACAGCAATTGTAATCAACTGGGGCTAAAAATTACGTATGGTTACAGTCGGGGAACTTGATTAACGACCAAGTTTGGTTAAAGTTTGTTTATAGAAAATAATCTTTTGAACTACTGAACTGATACTGCAAAAATCTGAAAATTCTTTGTCCTATTGAAAGCTATATTAAACTAAGCGATATAATAAAGCAATTTATTATCATTGGCTGTCAAACTACAATGGAGTTTGCCAGTTGAGTGTCGATATAATATTTCATACAATTGCTCTTGTGTAAGCACTGGCGCCTGTCGCGTACGCAAAGAAACATTTTTATTGGCGGCGCCAGGCCGCCAGTGCTCTCTCAAATACACGCGCACTGCATAAAGATTTGCCTCAGTGAGGTATCGCTGCCGCTACTACCATCACATGAGTAAAGAAGGTATTCTTTACTCATGTGGTGGTAGCGGCAGCCCCACGAAGGTTTTTAGATAAAGATTTAGACATGACAGTATGACTTATTTAAAACTTACCGTGGGTTTAGTACAAGTCTTCTCGTTTACAGGTTTACGCCTGACGTTCTCCTTTTGGATGGGTTTCTTCTTACGAGCTAGCAGGGGCAGCAGTAGAGTAGGTGCGACTATTTTAGACCAAGCATATGCTGTAAAGTTATGAAGTCTTCTAGTAAACTCACCGGAGGTTCAGTGCTCGTCTCCTTGGTGACCTGTTCAAGTTTAATGTTCTCCTTTGTACGAGCTCCTCCTTAGGAGCTAGCGGGGATAGTGATAGAGTAGGTGCGACTTTTTTAGAACAAGCATATGGCGTAAAGTTATGACGTATTCTAGTAAACTCACCGTGGGTTCAGTGCTCGTCTCTTCGGTGACCGGTTCAGGTTTAATGTTCTCCTTTTGGACGGGTTCTTCCTTCGAGGTTAGAGGGGGCGGCGGCAGAGGCGGCAGCGGCGGCTCCACCATCCTCCGCTCGTCATCTGGGGACAACGCAGCTCCTTTCCATTTCTTCAAACCATTATCTACGAGATGGAATGTGAAGGAGTTAGTCGACATGGTGAGTGAAATTTGACATTAGAGACATTTTGGAATGGTCACATTTAATATCTTAATGTTGTGAGAGTAACTTGTCCCTGCGGTTGAATAAGGGGCCCGCATAAAGCTGTAATAATAAGTAACTTGGACTAGAATACAGGGAAATAGAGGATGTAAACCGAATCTTAAAAGAATGTAAAAGACGATGGGAACTATAATTCTGTACAAAATGAACAAATATAGCCTCTTCATTGTTCATGAGACAATCACCTCATCATCATTGATGTTCACCAAAATACCATCTTTAGTAGTTACCTTTTCTTTATATGGTAATGGTACTAGTAATAGTACTGGTTAAATTGAATCGAAAAACTCAAGATAGGAAATAAGTACTTAAATAGAATAAAAAAAAAATTGGACAAGAAAAAGAATAATTCCCTCTCCTGTTACTGATAAGAACCAACAGCATGTTTTCTTTGCAAATGAATAAACAAACACAAACACATTACTCACTCTCATCTTTACCTCCATCGCCTTCACTACTCGTATGCAGCACCGCGCTTTGGTACGCTGGGTTCGCGTGCTTAAACCGCACCTCATCACTCGACAAGTCAACGGGCATCGACACTGGCTCATCCGAGTCCACCGGGAACGCTGGCTCCGTATACCTCTGTCGACTCATGTCTTCCTGGTAGAGATTAGGCGCATCCAACGCGTCATTGTCTAGATTATTCAATTCGTATCCATGCGGTGGGACTGAAATGTATAGTGTTTACACTTCAATGCGGCATTATTGGTAAATAATATCCATTCTGCATATAAATATCGCGTAAGTTTATTCATGATTTAATGACAAGAATTACGAAGATAGGGTGACAGCAGCGTGAGGAGTTTACTACTGCATGGGCTTGACGTGACATTAACGAGCTCATGCTTAAGATATTTATGTGCAGAACAGTTAAATTGCTGATTTATGGATGAACGAGAGTGCAACAAAGGAGCGAGGAGGAAAAAGTCGTAACGCGCTGTCATGTTGGCTATATGACCGAAGTATGGGTCTACTGACTACTGTGTGCTGTCCGAGTTATGTGTCGGGGTCCGTCCACGGGTGTGAAGCGATGGGCGATGTGCCGACAGCGGTTCTCACCTGTCAGACTTAGCTTTTGTTTCCTAGCGGGTGGGGCAGTTGGGCTGGCTAGTGTCACTGTGTGAGATCTCTGCGGGCGGCGCTCAGTGGTGCATTCGGAACGATTCGTCATTGTCGTGTGCTCTAGCGTTATGTTGGCACTCGTTACATCTGTTCGGAACAGTTCCCTCGGTGTGTTCAAGCGGTAAGTGCGATACAAACATGATCCCAGTCAACTACTTCAAGTAATGGCTCTGGGATCGATATTAGCGGTGATTAAGTGATCGTGTTAAGTGTGCTAGGATTAGTAATTACTATGGGACACAATCGCTCTCGTCGTTACCTTGATAGAGTAATGTTGGTTAAGCAATAGCTAGTGATTCAATTAATCGATTGTTATTTGTGTCGACTTTGCTATCTGGGTTGTTCTGATTAGTGAGAACTATTTATTTTGGGGATAACTACTTCAATAGGTTCTAAGTGTGTATATTCAACTTCATTGTGATAACAACTGGTAAGTAACGAAGAACTTTTGTCCGCGGAGGACAAAAGTCCCTCAATCATGAAAATAATGTTTGCCGACGACTTGTCACGTACTCAACACACACGGTGTGCGGACATTTATTGCCCGAAAATTTAGAGAAATACACGCTATAGAAGAAAATATTCTGAGATAACGTTGTGTTGTTATTAAAATTAAGTTTAAGAAAAAGATAAGATGTTTGAAAAGGCAATACAGGGTCCATCCCTTTAAATCGAATCGAGCGCTTCTATAACTGTTTGGACATATTATTACTTACTAATATAAAAAAAGTAGATGTATAAACGTTTATGTCACTTATTCAATTCATTAAGTAATCACGCGAACCTGGATATATTTTATGACAGTACTGCGGCATTGAGGCGAGCACTGGTTACTGAACTATCCACAAATTACTAACCCAAATATTTTGCATCAGTGTGGATTCTCCGAGCGGCACTTTATGAGTTTCTTTCAGAAATTGATAAGCTATATATTATTTTTATATGTGAAAACTTGTATTGGCTAGTAGCTAACTAAATTGGATACCATGTATAAATAATAGCTGTAAGTTTTCCAGAGAAATAAAATTAAATAAAAAATAAAAACAATTTTTGTTTTTTAAGTTTTCACGCACACCATTAAATCAAATAATCAAAATGTGTCTTTTCATTACTTTTTTACATGATTTAACACAAGGAGTTTGTTTCGCCAGTTCTTCTCAGAAAGCTCTCAATTTGGAACTGGAACCCAAAAAATATAAAATAGAATAAAATAAATTAGTTTATTCATTAAATTAGATAATAAAATCTTACATAGACAATAATATTTTAATAATCTTTCAATGAAGTATCCGACCGTTGGATAAAAGTTTTTCGAAGGTAGATTGATAAAATTAAATAAAAATCATAATTCTGTCGACGTCAAAAAAGTAATAAAAAGACGCATTTTGAACCCGTTTATGCGCGTTTCATTAAAAAAGTAGATATATTTTGGTATTAATATCAAAGTGACTTTAAACTACATGAAACTTCTGAGCTTTCTGTTCTGTGGAGCTAGCTACCTTTCAATAATCTCGATACTTAGAGTATCGCCAATTAATTTCTTGCAAAGAAGTAACATCAAGGCGTTTGTATCAATTCCTGATGTTTGTGTGTTCAATCAGTGGTCACGTACGTACCGTTCGGTTGTTCGTAGTGATTGTTCTCCTTGGTGAGTTTGCGGAACTTGCGCGGCGAGAGGCAGGGTGAGCGCGAGCCGTCCGCCGCGTCCGGGGTAAGGCGGCGCGCGGCTAGGTCGCACAACATGGACACAGCTTCGGGCCTGCAATAAATCTAATATATAAAATTCTCGTGTCACGGTGTTTGTGGTTAAACTCCTCCGAAACGGCTCGATCGATTTTCGTGAAATTTTATATGCATATTTAGTAGGTCTGAGAATCGGACAACATCTATTTTTCATCCCCCTAAATGTTAAGGGTAATCCACCCCTAAATTTTTTTTTCAATTTAAGATAAATTTTGTTTTTTTAATTATTTTATGATACATCATACAAAAATATATACAACCCAAAATTTTCGCCCTTCTACTACCACCCCCTATTTTTTTTATGGCGGTACGAAGTTCGCTGGGTCAGCTAGTAGGTATATAAAATAATAACTCCAAGGGGTAGGGGATCGGGTCAGGGTAGGCAATGACGCGAGTACTATATTTTGTATCGCAAGCGTCTTGCGACTTTTGACATAACATAAAAATCCACCATTTTAACGTAAAAAAACGAGTGTGCTTATGACCACACGACTGAAGTGAAACTGGTAAAACTGTACTTCCAGGGCCCAAGAGGTGATACTCGAAAGTTTTTGTAGAAAAGGTCTTTTTTAAAAGAATTTTTTTTCTGGCGCTATGGTCACAACACTAACCTAACTATTCTATTTTATTTTGTTTATATTTTGCTGGCACATTACTCTTCTATCTCTGTTAAACTATCCTTCGACTTAAAGGTTGTCTGGAAGAGATCGCTTTCAGCGATAAGACCGCCTTTACCCACCATAGTTGACTATCTGTTTTGTAAACCCTTTAATTGTGTATGTGTGAGTAATAAAGTGTTTATCTATCTATCTATCTATCTATGTAACCTAGTATGAAGAATCACCACTTGGGCCGGAAAGTACAGTTAAGCGTTCTTTAGCTCCACCTAATAATAATATTATAAATGGGAAAGTGTGTTTGTTTGTTTGTCTTCTCTTCACGCCTAAACCGCTGAACCGATTGTGATGAAATTTGGTATATGTATAGCTTGAACTTATGAGATATAGGCTACTTTTTTTTAAATTTATGTATTCGAAATTAGAATTTATATAATTTTCAACTAAATTAATCATTTTCATGGTTGGTCCCGATAGAGATGGCGCTACTGTCACGAAGACAGATTAAATTTGAAATGTAGAAGTTGCTACGTTAACAAACGAGATGGCACCACTCGAGTTCAATACCGAGTATTTTGTGTTAGTGTTTCATTTATTAAATCGAGGTAATTTTACGCAATTTCTTTCTAATCTCATTTTTAATCCATACTTTTTAATATTATAAATGGAAAAGTGTGTTTGTTTGTTTGTTTGTTTGTCTTCTCTTCACGCCTAAACCGCTGAACCGATTGTGATGAAATTTGGTATATGTTTAGCTTGAACTTATGAGACTGCTATAGGCTACTTTTTCTTAATTTTTTTTATTCAAATTTACATAATTTTCAACTAAACTAGCAGAATTTGTACCTAAGTTGCTGCCAGATCAAAAGCAAGTATTTCAAAAAGTTTTGAGACAAATAGATTCTGGGAATGGTGCCCTTTATTTCCTTGATGCCCCTGGAGGTACAGGTAAAACTTTTTTGCTGAATTTGTTGCTGGCGCAAGTTAGAAAAGAAAAGAACATTGCCATAGCTGTAGCATCCTCGGGTATAGCCGCAACATTGTTGAGCGGGGGCCGCACTGCGCCTTCCGTCCTTAAATTACCATTGAATCTAGCCCAAGAAGAAACACCAATCTGTAATTTTAGTAAAAATAGCGCTCGGGGTAATATGTTGCGACAATGTAAACTCTTAGTGTGGGATGAGAGTACCATGTCGCACAAAAAGGCCGTAGAAGCACTGAATCGAACGCTCCAGGATTTACGTAACAGTACTGATATTATGGGAGGGATGGTTGTTTTATTAGCAGGAGACTTCCGCCAAACTTTACCAGTCATTCAAAAGGGCACACCTGCAGATGAAATAAAAGCAAGCCTGAAGTCTTCTACTCTTTGGAACAAAATAATTAAATTCAATTTAACAACGAATATGAGGGTGCATTTATACCATGACATTAATGCTGGAAACTACACTAACACACTATTGAAAATGTGAAATGAGCGGTTGAAAAGCGACGTTGAGGGCTATGTGACACTTACAGAAGATTTTTGTAATTTAGTCCAGACTGACTCTGTACTGATTACTAAAGTTTATCCAAATTTACAAAATAATATTCTGGAAGGCTATGTCAAAGGGTGATATTGGCTCCAAGAAACGATGTTGTTAAAAAAATAAATACAGACATATTGAGTCAAATAACAGGAGAAACAGTTGAGTATTTGTCAGTAGATACAGTTATGGACACAGAACAGAGCACTTCTTACCCCGTAGACATAATTAGTGCCACTATTTTAACCGGCGCGTAGGAAAGGGTGATAACGTGTTAATCCCTCGAATCCCAGTAATTCCCGCCGATATTCCATTTCAATTTAAAAGGCTGCAATTTCCAATTCAGCTTAGTTTTACCATGACCATTAATAAAGCTCAAGGTCAAACATTAAAGGTAGCGGGGGTGAATTTACAAAAATCGTGCTTCTCCCATGGTCTATGTTATATGTGGTATGTTACATGGTATATGTGTATGTTGCATGTTCGCGTGTGTCTAAGGCTCAAAATCTATTCATTCTGGCCCCGGATGGAAAAACACATAACATCGTGTACAGTAGCGTACTTAAATAGTACTGCTATGTGTTTAAAATAATTAAACCCATTATTCTAATAATACTAATGCTTTTACATTTTGAAGTTTTATTACGTACTATCCATAGTAGTATCTCTTATCTATTAGACAAGTCCGGCCGTCCGTCCGTCTGTGGTGCTGTTTCAGCGGCCAAACCGTAAGTAAGAGATAGATAAAGAGAATGTTTAAGTTATAAGTTAAGAATAGTCTGATAAGACTACAAACCGGATTTGAGTAACGTAGCACTTCCGGTTTTCGAGAAATCACGAATTTCAAACGAAACCACACAAAATCTCCGAAGTTCTCAATTAGTTAAATACATTTTTTTTAAATCAGGTTTTGGTGAACATTTGGTTCACTGGTTTGCTATTAGGTATTATTATGAGAGTGTTTGTTTTGTTTATCCTTCCTCGAAGCCTAAACCACTTTGAAATTTGGTAAGTATGTAGGTTGAAGCTTTGGGTTACTATAAGCTACTTTTTTACTCACTATGTCAAAAGAGGATGATAGCCTCAAATAGGAAAACCACGCAAGTGTAGCCGCGGGTAACAGCTAGTATATATATATATATATATATATATATATGTGTGTGTGAACAATATAAGTATACATGTATGTACATATATTATACATATTTAATTTACTAGGTATAAGAGAAAAAGAAAATGTGCGCGCGCACTTCTTTCTCTTGCTTATATACCCCATTCAACTACCGTTCGCCTCGCCCGAACACACTTTTCGTAACGCGTAACGCATTAGCCAGCTTACCCCCCAAGTCAAGCGTGCGTAAAGAAGTTTCACTTCAAAAATAATGATACAATTTTTTCTAACAATAAGCTGAACTTCAAATTAAGCACTGTAAGGCTGTGTTATGGGTTACTAGGGTAACCTCAAGAATAATGCTAAAGTAATTAATTAATGCTATACATATAAATGGCTATAAAAAAGGTTTTATTAAATGATCACTGTACGTGAAAACATAAGAAATAAATAAATATATCCTATATCGGTACTTCACATGGCTATTCGTAAATTTGACAACAGTATCTTCTTTTCAGTCCCTATAGAGTATGTTAAAGACATATCTGCTGTCAAAATGACAAAAAATACGAATAGCAATGCGAAGTGCCTAGCATTACATGTACACATTGTCGAACCATGGCTTCCCGATCACGCTCAAAAAGTTTCAGAAGCAAAGGTCTGCACACACGTCCAATTATTTTTTAGAAATAAGTATATTAATGTACTATATAATCTAAGTTCATGACTTAGGACATATACTTGAAATTGCCATAGAAGTGTTTGTCCGACCGGGATTTGTACTTAGAACCTCCGAGTAGGCACCTTGAAAACCGGTGAACATACTACTTCCACTACCACCACCACAGACGTCATCAAATAAATAATATACAGATGAATTTCAACGAAAAAAAATATACTGCTAAATTGAGAAATTCCTTCTTTTTGAAGTCGGTTAATAATAAGACGCGGGCCACATCGGTAGAGGAGGTTTCCTTGGCATCGCTCTTTCTGTGTTAAATATCGCTTCACGTAGCTCTACTAGCATAGATCTTCTTGAGCAAAACCACAGACAAATAAACTTGCGCATTAAAAGATTTTGTATGAAAAATCGGCACACACAAGAAGTTTGCCGGCGTGTATGAATGTCAATTGTATTTTGATAAACATGTTAATTATAGAAGTGAAACTTCTTTACGCACGCTTGACTTGGGGAGTAAGCTGGCGAACGTGTTACGAAAAATGTGATCGGGCGAGGCGAACGGGAGTTGAGGGGGGGATATAAGCAATAGAGCCAAGTGCGCGCGCACATTTTCATATGTACATACATACATGTATATATTGTACACACATATATATACATACAGATGGAACTCAAGAAGTTTCCCTTCAGTCGTTTATCCTTAACTTTTATTTTTGGTTTACCGAATTTTAAGATTCTCAAGAAAGCATCTAGCTAAACTTGCCTGGCTTTATTGATAAAAGATTTTTCATTACCCTTTCCAAATTTCATGTCTATCACGGCAGTGATGAAGGTAAGTTGTAGGCGGTAGGATAAATGGTCAGGGGATGACAGTGCAGTTAAGGAGCGAATTTGTGTAAAAGCGTGGGTAAAGGTCGATCTGGACGCACTCACATACTTCCATCAAGTTGGAGGTGTTAAAATGTCAGGTTAAAAGGCACAGCAAACGCAAATAGCTACAAATTATTATTCAGAGCAGACACTCTTGTAAGGAAATTGGACTGAAGGGCGTTAGGCACTTGCGCCATTGCCGACGATGAACGTGAAACGAGTAGAGCTAGAAACCAGAAACGAGTTGGCGAGCAGCAGGAAACAAGTGTGTAGTTTCGCTAGTTTTATCACTGGACTAAAGCGAGTGTGCGAGTAAAACGGGCGATTATTCGCCTCACCTACTTACCTACCTACCTCAACTACAGTCTTGAGCAAAAATGTACGCGAACACGTTTTGACGGCCAAATGAGCATCGCTGAGCGAAAATTTATCTTTGAGAGCTCTAGCTGCTCAGCGACATACTTGTTCAGAGTGTTCTCACCGGCAGTATGAACAGTCAGCGATCAACTATTAATACATATATACATATCTTTTGTTTACGCGGATGTGTATCTACTGTACGTTTCTTGAGCGAGAAAATAGCCGATAGTTAGTCGCTCCTTGCCGGCGGTGGGACAACTACCTTATTTAGGATGCTCTGCTTCTATCGATTATTATTAATACCCGATAGAGGTTTTTTTGACAGTTGAAATTTCAATAAAACATTTTACTAGTTTGTTGTTGTAATTCTGTTTTTACTGTACTTGTCCTAGTATCCAGACTGGAACCGTATCTTTTAATTACTTTCTGAATCCTTTCATTCAACATTTATTTTCAAATCATTAAAACATCTTACCTTTCTTATGAAATTGTTTCGAATCGGGTACTTTCTCCAAATAAGAAATAATAATTTATAGAAAAGGTACTTCTTATTAGAAATGTCGATAACAAGTCAAGTTCTATTCAAATGTATGAATATCGAGAACCTCCCTTCATAATTCTGTTTCAACAATTACACGATAGTTATAAAAAAACGAGAACAATATGGTTGAGTTTTATTAAACCAACTGTAAACGAGCACAATTGTGAGCGAGCGGAACAAAATTGCGGAACATTACTTTCTAGTTTTCCTGTGAATTCCGTGTTAAGGTTTAAATTTGTTGTGCTAAAGCATGGGAATAATATAATTCTTTTCTTAAAACTCATTTTCAATCTGCTGCATGCAAATTTACTTATTAAAATTTATTGTGAAGACAAATGCTATTATGGTAAAATTTTAATAAAGGTTTTTAATAGTTCTTTAACATGGAACAATATAAATTCACATAATTTTAACGCCTATGTACGTTACAAACATTATAATTATAAGAAATTAAACATTTAAAAAAGTCACTTTTATTATTTTCGTGTTAAAAATTACTGATCTGTTTCGTTAAGTAGCTTAAACTCCTCGTACTGCAACTATCAACTTAACAGCAACTTTAAGATCTGTGGTTTAGTTTCATTACATTTCCAATTAAGTAGATATTAAACTGAAATAACTATTTTTATGTAATAATTATGACTTACTAACCCATAAGCAACAGCCTGTGTAGTATAGTGTTTTCAGACCTATTATGTCTTATCTAAGTTATAGAATTGCCAGCTTTTCGAATTCGAAACTTCGTAAAAGTCAGTGATAAAAATAAGAACTTCAAAAAATATAAATAAATATTTCCAACACTTATAGCAATAATTAGCCTAGCCCCAAAGTGGACAATGCAAGGCTTGTGTTATGGGATGCTACGGTAACGGATAGAATACATATACTGATACATATCTAATATATAAAAATGTCGTGTCACGATGTGCGTAATTGAACTACTCCGAAACGGCTCGACCGATTTTCGTAAAATTTTATATGCATATTCAGTAGGTCTGAGAAACATCTATTTTTCATCCCTCTAAATGTTAAGGGTGGTCCAACATTAAATATTTCTTTTGGACAAAATTTAGTTGTTTTCATTTTTTTATGATACATCATACAAAAATACATACAAACCTAAATTTTCACCCTTCTACCACCAACCCCTATTTTTTATGGCGGTACGAAGTTCGCTGGGACAGCTAGTATAAGTATATTTATATAGAAATACATATTAAACATCAAGACTGGAGTAAAAATTTATTTATAGTTGGTAAACACGTTGATGAGTAGATATAAAACCTATTTTAGTATGACGTACCTCAATGGCGGTTTAGGCCTATTCATTGGAGCGTCGGAGTCCGTGGGCGCTTCTTCTTTAGGTGACATCGGAGACAGCGGCGTAGCGGCATGATCACGGTACAACCGCAGTCGCACCTCTGACCCACAAGCTCGCAGAAACGCTACCGCTTCAGCGTGTGACATGTTCGACATCGGCGTGTCATTCACCTGTTACACACACAACATGGTTATATTCGCAATGGTATATTGATTTGAGGAGTTCAATAGCGCGGTAGGATTATGGTTTCCGAGGTTAACTGCTAGGCCACGACTTTTGGCTAAGCGATGAGCGCAGCGACGCGACATTCTGCACGCATCCGCCGCAGAAACGCCACCGCTTCAGCGTGTGACATGTTCGACATGGGCGTGTCATTCACCTGTTATACACGCAACATGTTTATATTCGCAATGGTATATTGATTTGAGACTCAATAGCGCGGTAGGGTTATGGTTTCCGAGGTTAACTGCCTAGCCACGACTTTCGGCTTAGCGATGAGCGCAGCGACGCGACATTCTGCACGCATCCGGTAGACTGGGGCTTTACGCTAGCCCCGTTGTTGTAGGCTTCTCTTCGTGCCGTGCTTCTATCCTTTTAATTCATTTAATTTTGTTCTCATTGCTTAGTGCGTCGTGTCGCCCTAAGCTGTAACTCATAGCAGCAAGGTGGCCGAGTCATAAACAGTCATAGGATGGATCATTGAAAATATAAACTGATATTGAGTTTATTAAGTCTGATCTCTTTGTATTAACTAAGTAAAACATTTGCCGCGTTGTTTTAAAATATTTTTTCTTATATTTTAACTTAAGTCAAATTTCACTTTGTTTCCAACAACGGGCCTCATTTATTGATAACGGCTTCACTGTTTACAGTAGTAAGGATTATATAAACCGTTATCAAATTAGCCGTGAGGGCGTATTTTATTCACGATAAAATCAACATTCGATGTGTTGTAAATATCGCTGTGTTGTGTCCGATTCTACTGCGTTAAGATCATGATAAATATCGTGATTTAACTTTAAGATCAACAAAATGAAAAGTCAAAAGTATTTCAACGAAATCTTAGATCATTATTCTATTTCTGACTCCAAACCCCAAAGGCACTCTAAGCTCTTTTCACTTATTTATTTTTTATTTCCTTTCATTCAAAAAAGGCTTTGGTAAAGCTTAAAGAATTTAATTATTCTTACAAAACTTATTAATACTAGCGGCTGGTAGCGACTTCGTTCGCGTAAACATTTTGAAAATCCCTCAGGAACCTACATTTTACAGAAAAATGTAAAAAGTATATGCGAGTCAAATTTCATCCAAATCCATTAATCTGTTTTTGCGTGATTGAGTAACAAACATAGAAACGTCAATAAATAAATAAATCAGTGTATTTATACCGTTTAAACTTGTTTTATTGAAAACCTAGGAAACAAACTCTACCGTATAGCCTATGTTCATTAGGTATAAAATAGAATTCTAAACATGAAAGAATTTTTCAAATCGGTCCAGTAGATTCGGAGCCTATTCAACACAAACAAACAAACAATCTAATCTTTCCTATTTATAATATTAGAATACCATAAGGATTAAAACCGCACAAAAGAAAAACTAACGTAATATTACTAACTAGCGGTCCGCCCTCGCTTCGCTTCGGTGTAGAGCTGAAGTATAGACTACAGTTTTTGTTGTCAGGCTTGTATTATACACAATGACATTCATCTATGATTCTTCTTATACCTGCATGCAAAGTCTCAGCCCGATCGGTTTAAAATTGACAAAGTTTCATACAAACTTTCATTCCCTATTTTATCCCCTTGGGGGTAGAATTGATCAAAATCCTTTCTTAGCGGATGCCTACGTCATAACATCTACCTGCATGCCAAATTTCAGCCCGATCCGTCCAGTAGTTTGGGCTGTGTGTTGATAAATCACTATGTCAGTCAGTCACCTTTGACTTTTATATACATACTAGCTGACCCAGCGAACTTCGTACCGCCATAAAAAAATTTAATTAAAAAAACATTGTCCAGCGGACAAAATTGTGAATCTAAACCATTCTCAGATCCCCTTGAACACACACAAAAAATTTCATCAAAATCGGTCCAGTCGTTTAAGAGAAGTTCAGTGACATACACACTCACAGAAGAATTATATATATAAAGATATAGATAATAACGGTAATTTTTATTACCTGTATTTATAACCAAACTAAAATTCTCATATTTCCGTTTTCCAGTACTCATTTTCTACACGTTTTACATGATTTATTTGCTAATTTTGTTTACAAATGTTTGGTTTTTATTCTAAGATAAGCACGGTTTCTCAATATCAATTATTGTCTGTCAATAAGGTCGAACGCTCTGAACGCATCAACAGCCAAATATTGAATGAAGCTCGCTTTCTTTTTTTTTGTTTCCTCCCAGGCGGGGGAGCGGGTGTGAAATCCTCATGGATACCCTACAGCCGGCTGTAGAGTTATGTCAGACTCTTACTGACTAAAACACACCCGTGGGGGGTGCCTATGGCCTTAGGGGCCTTACAGGCTTCATCTGATGCGATCAACCCCTGAGAAGGGGATGATGCAGCGCTGCCTTAGTAAATACTACTGCATAGTGCGCTTAGAGGACGGATGCACCCTGATGTGCATCCGTATCGGTTTGAGACTGAGCGACTGAAGGTCTCTCAGGATCGGGGGGGCGGGGAAGCTCGCTTTCGGACCTCCCGCCTTTTTATACCCTACCGCGCCGCCACGACCCGTGTCGAGCGTGGCAGCCGTTACACAAAAATAATCCATAAAGCATGATTCAGTATTCACGTGCGACGGCGCGATGGCTTATTTCATGTATAAGTTTGGTGTTTCTATACCGATTTCTATGATTCTTTTTTTATTGAATAGGTAATAATGTTAACTTTTTTAAATTAGGGATGAGTGAGAGTATTATAAACGTAAGAGTAAACAAATATAATCAGAATGCTCCGAACTGCTAAGCTATCAGGAGTTACACGTGTTATTGTGAGTCAACCATAAAAGATAGACATATGCTGTTGCGGGATATTTTTAGACAATTTTATGTAGAATATTTCCGTCATACATGATTTCTATGTAACTTTAACCATTAAGGCTCCACACGCGACGGAAGCTTAAAAAATGGAGTAACTTCTCCCGTTTTCCCAACATTTCCCTTCACTACTCTGCTCCTATTGATTGTAGCGTGATGAAAAGTATACTATAACCTGCCCAGGAGTATGAAAAATAATTGTACCAAGTTTCGTTAAAATCCGTCGAGTAGTTTTTGTTTCTATAAGGAACATACACACAGACAGACAAAAATTTTACTGATTGCATTTTTGGCATCAGTATCGATCACTTATCACCCCCTGATAGTTATTTTGAAAATATATTTCATGTACAGAATTGACCTCTCTACAGATTTATTATAAGTATAGATTATATTTTAGCGTTAAATATATCGTATCTATGTAGTAAGATAATTAAAAGTGCTTAAGATATAAACTAATATTGAAGATTTTTTGTGTTGCCTGCATAAGGCAAACGAGCTTACAGTCCACCTGATGGAATGTGGGCACTCATGGACAGGGTGCGTTCCAAATATTGCTGGAATTCAAGAAAAAGGAACGCACGTTCCGCGTGTTAGAACGCCAAGCCCTCAGAAGTGATAAATAATTTGTACAAAACGAATTAAAAATAACATTGGAAAGAAATCACTTATTTTTACGAATGACGACGATCTTAAAGTAGGTAAACCCTTGAACTTTTTTTTTACAATGGAATTCGTTTAGCGACAGACAAAGTTAGCGTGACTTGGGAAGTCCGCTGTTTGCTTATCGATTTATTAACATAATAGCTGCCAAGTTTTTTCATAGCTGTACATCTATGCAGCGATAAGTATCACTGTGTTATTTAATAAAAGAGATAGCTAGCAACGACTATGTTGACACAGATGATTGCTATATATGGAGTCTTTTGTTAACGTTTATTTTAACATCCTTTGTGTTAGTCAAATGTTTGAATTCTTTAGAAAATAAATCATCTGCACGGTTGGGAGCGAATTTAATAGCAGTTTATTTTAAAATTATAAACTTGCTCATCAAGATAAATTACGAAGCGTAAGCGGCTTAGGAAATGAAATGAGAAGGGTTATAATATTGCAAAGTGAGAATTCGAATTTGAAATAATGAAACATTGGTTTTTTATGAAACAGGAAACCTTAAACGAGTGATTTTTTTTTCAGAAACAGTAATTTAAATCTTGTTGATTGAAATACAAAATAATTAAGGATTTACTGCTTGTTTCTTGTTTTCGTATTTTCGTAACAAGGATCTTAAAGTATTAACAAAGTAGATATTATTAGACAAAAACCAGCATTATTTTCTTCTTGATTCTATCCAGACACTGACGTCTGTTATTGCTAGTGTTTACGAAACAAGGATCTTAGAGCCTGTGCTACGTTAAGCGGGAACACGAAGCGGCATCCGCTTCTCGTGTTTGTTACGTGTTATTTCATAGAGCAGCGCTGCGAAAGGCGGGTCTGAAATTTATTATATTAATAACTTCTCTTATTTTTAATTTATGTGATTGTCTTGTGTCTCCGTCCGTTGATGTTCTAATTAGGTCCCTTCAGAATACCAGCGTTGCAGCGGCAATATTTTGCCGTTGCAACATTATGCTGAGGTCCCACCTAGTTGACGATGTACGTTTTGTTTTATGTTTGATGTGTATTTACTGTAATTGTAAAAAAAATATTGTCAGTATGTAGTCAATAAATATTTTTCTTTCTTTCTAAAAAATACACGCGGTGCGGACCGTTTAGGAAAATCGTGTACTAGGCAAATATGAGAGCAAAGAGTTCTTACGGCAACGATTCTGTCCCCAGGTTGTATTCTGCCGTCGCTGAGTGCGGGCTCCCGTACAAGCGCCCTCACGTAGTGCCCCAACGCGCTGTGATCTTCCTTCCGGAGCGTGAAACCGAGGGAGCCGTTCACTTTCGTCATCACTATGTCGAACTCCTATAGTGAAAGCATAAAAGACACGTTTCAGTATTTGTATATAGGTATCTGCAGTGCTATTCTGAAGGAACAAACTCACCTTTCGCCTCAGAATCTGTGGTTTGATTTAATTAAAAAATTAGAACACGAATTTAAAAGAAATCTTAAATCTCACGGTTTCCGCGGTAAAACGTGAGTTTGTTCGCACAGAATAGCACTGTTGAAAAAAATACAACGAAAAGTTAACCTGTGTATTAAGTTGGTAACCTAGAGTTGGATGGAAAAAGAAACCCGAAACTAGTTTTTTTTAAAGAAAAACAATCTTGAATAGAAATAAAATTCCACCAGTTATAAGCTAATAAAACACTTTAACTGAAGTTTACAAAATGAAATTCTGTATAAAATAAAAACGTTCAAAGCAGATATTTGGCTGATTTTATTTATAGCATATAAAAAGAAAAGTAAATTACATTATCATTAAATGAGGCAAGGAAAAATTTATTTCAATATCTAAATTCTACATTTAAATACTTAATTAAAAAAATATAAAAACTAAAGAGACTACGTAAGTCTATAAGAAAAAAACAACGTGCTAATGAAAGCAGATTTTTTTCCAACTCCTAAAACATCTGGTTTGAGATCTTGAGAGCGAACGCTAGATCAATATCAAGGAATAAGTTTTCTAATCTCGTGCAATAATCTGGCCCATAAATAAGTCTATTAAGCGTTGCTTCATTGTTCCAGTACTGTGGACGGAGCACATTTCCCACAAAGCGACGGGATAATTACTCACCACAGATCCGTCATCCTGAGCGGCGTGAACAAAAAGCTTTATTAATTGAACTAGGAAAACGGAGCCCCATTAAGAAAACGCATAGTATTTTTTTCTTTCTCACTTTTATAAATATGTGTCAGTGAGGTTTAAAAATAGTAAATAGCCTGCGCAGATCAAGTCCTCAGGAAAAAGTCCTTGAATCGTGAAGAAAATTTCCGCAGAGGACTTGTCACTTATGTGCGAACATTTGTCCCCGATAATTAAGAAAAGCGCATGCTATGGAAATAAATATTCTCAGAATACGTTGTGTTGTTATTACATGAAGTTTGAGAAAAATAGGGGGCGTTTTAAAAAACATTACTCGGTCCATTTCTTTAAATCGGATCGAGCGCGCAATGCGGACTAAAGCTCGCTGTGTGCGTTGCTGCGCCTAGTCACATGAGTTCTATTTTTTCGGGGACAACCGCGTACTTTTGTCCTGTCTGGTCTTTCGGTGTTTTCGGTTGTTCGGGGGATTTTTGTACGCAGTAATTTAAAATCCATCATGTGCGTTACTCGATGCAGTTGTAAGTAAACGATGTATTATTTTTATTTGACAAAAAAGTCCGCGGTCCTTAATTGGCCCTCGTCTGCGCAGGCCATAATAGATACTGCTAAAACTGTTCGACAAAAACTAATATTTGGGACGCTGATACTAGGTATTATAAATTCAAGTTAATTTTCAAATAACTGTGTGTAATAATGCTTTATATACAAACTTAATGGTGTAAACACAGATGTAGTTCAGTATAAATGTCGGTAAGTATTCCAAATTTAGATCCCATTCTCCCCCTAGAGGTGAATGAAATTCAGTACAATTTTCTTTCCCTGTTTTTAACAGATTAAAAATGACTATTGTTATGTTCGCTTTTTGTGGCATAGAATGTCACTTTTTTGAGCAAGTGGAACGAAAAACATATTTCTGATGTCGTAGTAATTAATTTGATCTAATTTATTGAACATTATTGAGAGATTCAGGAGTTTGAAGTTGTGCATATAATTGTTTTTTCTGTAAACTAGCTGCAGTAGAACGACCAGTACAAAAAAAATAAAATAGCATTTGCAAATATCTCTTATCTATTAGACAAGTCCGTCCGTCCGTGGTGCTGTTTCAGCGGCCAAACCGTAAGAGATAGATAAAGAGAATGTTTAAGTTATAAGTTGAGAATAGTCTGATAAGACTACAAACCGGATGTGAGTAACGTAGCACTTCCGGTTTTCGAGAAATCACGTGATTTCTATTTCAAACGAAACCACACAAAATCTCCGAAGTTCTCAATTAATTAAATACATTTTTTTTTTGGTGAACATTTGGTTCACTGGTTTGCTAGTTCTACATTAATTTTCAATAGGAAGAATAATTCTTCTGTTAACTTTTATTGGAAATAGTTAAAACCTTTGCTAAGGGGGTAAATAAGTCGCTCATTAATTACGATATTTTGCAAAAAATGTGAAAGGGCTCTTAACAATAAAAAGTTACGTTAATTTTTAATGAAAAAAAGATAAAATTGGTTTTGTTAGTTATTTAATTTATTCTTCTACTACGACTACAAACTTCGTTAGTGAATATAATAAAATAAACTGGTTTACCCCATATTGCACATCGTAGACGGGTAAATGTCCATCCAGGTTGGGCAAGTGAAGGTCTTGGCGGTCTGTTTCTGGACTGGCCTCTCTCCGACCACGGCCTTCTGATGATGATGTGGTCGCACTGCTGGTCGTTTGAGATAACCTGATGGAAAAATTAACGTATAAAATATTGTGTATTATGAAAAATACTTAACTAGAGAAAAAGGAAAATGAAATTGAGAATGATTTCAGAGTTATTCAAAAAAAGATTAGCCAAAGCTTAGCTACTGGATCGTGTTAAATTATTTGGCAACTTATACTTGAGCAATGGTCTTCTCATTCTAGTCACAACTACTAAGATTTAAAACTATAGCGATTTCAATTTGTGATGTTAGTTGCATTTGAAAGTTGAGCTTGAGAAAACTATTTTATAACGTTATGATGTGGTTTAACAATATTAATGTAATAAGGAAATGAAACCATCAATATAATAGTTGTGCTTGGTGTATAATGAATGATCTTTCTGTGTCAGGTATAGATGGCGATTAAGTCTTATAGTCATTAGTGTTAATCCATCAAGTGGTATCGAGGACAAATACGGAAGCGTTTATAGATATAACAGATTTTATTTAAGCAATTTGTTTATAAACAATATTTAAGACTGACTATAAAATTTGCCGGGTTTGATGGTATTCTTATTCTTAAGCGGAACAGAATTTTAGTCGCACAGATAGCTGGTGCTGTGCAAAGACCTTACCTTGGCGACCTGAACTTCTTAACTCAGCTTTGGTTACTTCAGGAATACAATAAAGCACAGCGTAATTGTGTAAGGGCAAGGGACAATTTCGGAAAGCTATTCTAATTAGAATGAAAACTAGCAAACCAGTGAACCAAATGTTCACCAAAACCTGATTTCTCGAAAACCGGAAGTGCTACGTTACTCAAATCCGGTTTGTAGTCTTATCAGACTATTCTTAACTTATAACTTATATATTCTCTTTATCTATCTCTTACGGTTTGGCCGCTGAAACAGCACCACAGACAGACGGACGGACTTGTCTAATAGATAAGAGATGCCGTTGCCCTATTTTTCAAGATGCTTGCTATTCAAGTCCAGTGATGGCAGGTGCAGCGGGTCAGGGGGCATCACAATCTCCAGCCCATTAGCTGGTGGCTGGCAGAATCGCAGCTCCATCCTCGGCGACCCAGCCCGGAGCACTTCCAAGAGAGACGCTTGCTATCTTGTCTGACACGTTCTTTGTTTATATTCTTGTTAACTGGCATGCATGGCGTGAGAGTTAACCGGGTTCAGCTATTTGTGCGCCGTGCAGTCGGGGGGTGACACACTCTCCAGCACTTCAGCTGGTGGCCGGCACACTCACAGCTACACCCTCGGCGACGTAGTCCGGAGCACTTCTAGGCGAGACGCCTACTATCGAGTGGCTGGTGTCTTACAGTGCTATAGTCTTCTTACCTGGCGTGGATGGGGTGACAGTTGAGCGGATCCAGCGGCGGCAGGTGCGGTGGGTGCGGCGTACGGGCGGGCGGTGTCGGCGGGTCGGGGCGCGTCACACTCTCCAGTATCTCAGCTGGTGGCTGGCATACTCGCAGCTCTACCCTCGGTGACGCTGTCCAGAGCACTTCTAGGAGAGACGCTATCGAGTGACTGCTGTCTGATACGCTCTTTGTTTATAGTATTGTTGCATGCATATGGTGACAGCTGAGCGGATCTAATGGTGGTAGCTACGGTGGGAGCGGCGTGCGAGCAGGCGGTGTCGGCGGGTTGGGGGGCGCCACACTCTCCAGCACAGCAGCTGGTGGCTGGCACACTCGCAGATTCACCCTCGGCCATGCAGTACGGAGCAATTCCAGGAAAGACGCTTCCTATCGAGTGACTGCTGTCTGACATGCTCTTTATCTATAGTCTTGTTACCTGGCATGCATGGGGTGACAGTTGAGCGGGTCCAGCGGCGGCAGGTGCGGTGGGTGCGGCGTGCGGGCGGGCGGGGTCGGCGGGTCGGGGGGCGTCACACTCTCCAGTACTTCAGCTGGCGGCCGGCAAACTCGCAGCTCTACCCTTGGTGCTGCTGTCCGGAGCACTTCCAGGGCTTCCTATCGAAGAATAAGTATTTATTACTATAAAGCAGCCTTTTTGCTACTACAAACTTGCTTGATCCGTTGAATTACTTAAGAGTACACAGCAGCCTTTCAGCCTATACAAAACATTTGCGGCCACATCTACACATCCACATACCTATAAATAAATGAAGTATATAGTTCTGCTCCATAAACTATTAAAATTTACTTTTTACATAACTGCCCGAAAAACGAGTGTACTGTATTCAGAGTTCATGTATGTATAATTTCTAAATGCCAGAGCCAACACATTGACAATATTATAAATTATACAATAATGTGTATTATAATGAACACTTTGATAGCAGATAATTATATTAATAAAAGTATTACTCGAAAAAATAGAATAAAATAAGTCTTTGAAATGCTACGAGAACATCATGCTAAAAAAATAATTATCTTTACTGAAAAAATACTAGGTTTCTATTAATCTATAAAGATTATCATATGACACAGGACAGGATTGAATAATCCCCCAGACAATGTTTCCTAATTGAAGGTAATTCAGCTAAAGCTTACCGGATGAATAAACAGAGTCGTAAAGCAATTATGTGTACAACGGTTGCCATTTAGTGATAAAGATATTATTTGAAAGCATTAATGGAAATATTATTCAATTAAGAGTCCACTACTAAAACCTAGTTGCAGCAAATTTGGTTAATTTTAATTCAACTTAACCTAGATTTAATCCTTTTTTGACGGTTCAAATTAATCAACATTTTATGAAAAATATCGCAATAATATGGTATACAAAGCCCTTGATATTTTTACAATGATTAGAGCAATACAAATAAACCACGCAAAGACCACGGTTCATGTTCGCGCAATGTATGCGTGACTCTTATGTCAGATTTTACTAGAGCAGTCAATATGTACGTGTGCAGCGACGAACATATCTACCATATTATGAAGTAGATACATTTGTGCCGCTTCCGTGCAGGTATAGAGATGTGCGAAATACATTATAAAGTAATTAAATACAAAATGTAATTATACCCACTTTGATATTTTTTTCATTTGAAATACAAAATACTTTTTCATTTTATATTTTAAATACAAATAAATCCTACTTCCAAAATACTTTATTAAAATAAAATACCTTTAGTTGTATACTGTGTTTATTTTATTGGTTTTTTTATCTTAGTGACTCGAAAACAAAACAGTTTAGTGTCATGTCATAGTGAGAAAAAAATTGCACTAAAATTGTATTGCTGTTACTATCTTATCAAAAAAATATTATCCGGTTCACATAAAAAACAGGCGGGTCCTAGTGTGATTTGTAAGTCAGGGGTGGTATAATCAGCACGGGCCATGTATACCTACCAGTTTGCGGATGATAACTGCCTAAGGAAAAATATTTACCATGAAGTATCGAGAAGCTCGTTCGGTTTACAAATATGTATATAAGTTAAGTAAATTTCATGAAGACCAGTAGTTAAGGTTGTAAATACCAAATAGATGAAGCTGAGACCAATAGCTGAACTAACATAATAAGTACTTACTCGATGCCTTGAATAGGTTGCAGCGGCGCTGCCCGCATCATTGGCGATGAAGAGGTAACCAAGAAACTCGAGTCTCTACAATTACGCCGAGATGTGGCATCATTAAGCGCATTCTACCGACTTTACCACGGTGAGTGTTCTGAGGAGTTTATTCTCCCTTATGCCTCCATCACCTTTTCTTCAGAGGACCACGCGCGCTGGCCTACTTTGCCACCGACTTACTGTGGCCACTATTCCTACACGAACAAAGAAATTTGGTGACTCATTTCTTTGTCGTACTGTTCGTAAGTTGCTTTAATGGAATGCTTTACCCGCGCAAGTGTTCCCTCCTTCCTATAATTTGGGGTCCTTTAAGAGAGGCGTGAAGAAGCATTTTTGCAGGCCGGCAAGGTGAGGGTGATTGGTGTAGCAGTTTATAACTGCTGTATCAGTTATCTTCGCGTTTGGACTTTATTACCACTTAACATCAGGTGGGGTAGAGTCATTTGCCTACCTCTATATAAAAAAAGGCAATATTAAGGTTTCAAATAAGTACAATTAATGTCATGGAATAATATAAAAGTTTATGACATTTTTTACGCTAAAAACGAATGATACGCACATTGAAAAACATTTAGAAATATGTATAAGTTGCGAGGAAAAATTTCATTTCGTGCGTTCGACGTTTATGTTCGGAGTTGATTGAAAGCCATTTGAATTTTTTACACTTTCAATCTACGGCTACGTGAAACAGATGAATTTATTATTCGTACAATTTTATTTAACTTAATACAATGTTTTACGTTAAAAATAAACTCCAGTAAATGATAAATACTAGAAAAAACTCAAAAAAAAATGTTCCATTTTAAGCAGAGTTTCTAATGTCGAAATTGTAAAATGAGTATAATTCAAATTTATGTTTAAACAGAATGACGGACGTTTCGGAGTCAGTTTTTGTGCTCATCACATACATATATAACACAATTAAATGCTTCTATTGGGATTCAAACCAAGTACCCTTGAAGCTGAAGTTAAGATTGCTAAAGTCTGAGTATTAGGTAATGTTGAACAAAACATTGCCTACATTGTTCTAATATTGAAGTGGCTGAAGCCAGACCAAGACGTTAAAATAAAAGTTTGTTAGTGTTAACTTGAGCTCGTATAATGGCAGTAGGGTATTATTATTATAAACTCGTAGGTATATTATACAACCGTACATTCAAAACAAACGTAACACCAGTATATGTCACGGCCATTGTATGTACTTACACACATAAATGTTTGTTCCTTGGATTATTTGAACAGCAGTTTCCACATTCAGAGTCGTTTATCAATAACTCGACCTCGTGAGACTGTTTTCAGGTGAGCCAGCAACTGTGCTTCCAAATTTTAATTGGAATTCGAATGATAAAAGTGAAAGCGTTTCAAATAATCAAAGCTCAACGTTCCTACACCTACTTAAAAAGCAATTGTTTGAAAATGGAAAAGCGAAAGAAAAGGGTTTTATTTTCTCAGTAAAAGGTGCGCTTCGGAAATAGCGAAGCTGTGACGGAAGTGACGTGTCGGAAGGATATTAATTTAGCCCTTCGGGTGTGAGTAACATTATTGGATCTTGGATCTTCTCACAGTGATCGCATCCAGGTCACGTTGAAATTTATAAGATGAGGCTAGGTTCAGATATTATAAATAATTATCAAAACTTACTATGGAGAATTGGAGAACTCGGGATGGCGTTTACAGTAGTCGCAGTAGCATACCGAACATTATTACCGTCGGTTGAAAAGTGTTTGAGTCAGTATTCGCAGTCCAGCCAGGTGAATCAAGGGTCAGAACAATTCTCCTTAGTCCACCCATGTGAACCTATTAGGCCATACGGGTTAAAAAGGTTTGTATGTATGACTAGTTGACCCCGCGTACTTCGTACGGGTTAAAATAATTTGGAAGAAATGACGGACTCGACTCTACCGTACCAAAAGGGACGAACGTCAAATGTTTGACAGGAAAGATGATAGAACAGGTTATATAGGAAAATTAAATTGACTTTTTTACTATCTTCCTCGCAATTTTTCCATGTTTTCTTTCCTTTTAAACGAACATTTCAAGACCAAGATAAGATAAATCCGTTCAGCCGTTCTGGAGTTTTAGAGAGACTAACAGTAAAAATTATACATATATATATTACTTCTTTGTGTTGATAGGTAGGTAACTTCTAGTAGATATAGTTTTTATTGCATGTGAACCTGTTATTATTAGAGAAAACACAAATAATGATACCTATATTATTCATATTACTCGTATTCATATTACAACAATCAATTTGAAAATCTGCGGCTTTATTGACAATTGGGACGAAAAATGATCGAATCACAATTGGATTTTACAAATAGTAAATGCAGCTTTGCAGCTAACAGACCAATATTAATATTGAATTTGTTTGTTCACTCTGCTGTTGATGCCAGTAATTGGAAAATGATTTTATGTGATTTTGCCGTCGTGTCGTTGTTAATTTACATTTTCATTTCAATTTAATAATTGAGGTTAAAGTCCATAATATTCAACTATTGTTAATCGATTCCGTATTCGGATATTTATGTCACCATAAAGAAACATACAGTAAAAAAAATATCGTAAAAGACCTATTTAAAACAAGCTTTTATTTAAATGCGTTAAAAAGAATAAAATATGTTTTTCTATTGAAACTTTTATTATGATCTTTTGAGGTTATTACACCATGTATATAATATAAAAGCTTGTCGCGAGATTTTCCTGTGTAGATAAACAAAAGGACAATGCCAGAAGTTCTATAGAGTTTTGACCCACCCGATAAAATTGGTATAAACGAATGCGATAAATGACATTTGATAGCTGTTATATTAGTAATCCCAAAACTAAAGTTGTAAATTCTCTAGAAGTTGCGGTTTTTTAATAATATCCTAACAAAGAGTACATTTATCATACGTTTCTCGAGCTGCAATTGAGCAGAACATTTGAATTGCTATAATTTATTAATTTCGCGCTTTCATAACAAATATTCAAATCGTTCTCTTCATAGTGTAAATAATTGTAATAATAACAAATACGAAATTTATATATTCGCTACATGAGGCATGAGGTATTTTATACATACAAGCAACAGTGTGTCACTTTTTTGGAATCTTCCAGATCTACGAGAAAAACCTATAGCTAACAAACAGTACCATAGTGAAGTATTGTATATCGCGATTATTCTAGTAGTAGTGTATTATTATTACTAATACTTTGCTTACAGCGCTTATATGATTGTTTAAAAAATAAAACACTCATTTTAATTTTATATAATTTACTCATCTAGTGATATCAATATATTATCTAAGAACGCTGCGGGTGTATATTCAACAGTGCCCGTATTGCAGCTGATAGTGTACAAACGACATACCTTCACATTCTATCTATACTTAAATAGCAATTTATGCATCTCAAAATGGTTCCAAATCACAAACAATAAATCGGTATCCT